TTGGGAGATCTTCAGTGAAATGTATGCCTGCAGAATAGACATTTGTACTGAGGATCATAAAACAGTTCATCAGTTACACACGGGAATATGTTACATAGGACAGTTACCTGACATGTCATTGTGAGATACGTACCATAATTAGATGCTGCACACTGCTGAACATTATTCACATATTAACAAACCTTCATACAAGGGAACACAGTATCTTAAATAATACCCATTTATGAACTGAATGACAACCTCTAGTGGCTGAATAGTATGTAACATGGAAGACTAAATCTTAGTTTTGCATATATTTGCATTTTGTATTTAACCATAGAATCATTTCACTATATTAATAATGTATTTGGTACAGAGGTATATTCACAAAGTGTATCATTTTGACATGACCAGTGTTGTCACTTTGATTTCATCAATGTTACATGGACAATCCTTAAATATGCTTGTTTTGAACCAGGATGCAGAAAAAGTGTTCACACTTGCATCATAAATTTGCTATATCCAGATAACTAGTAAGTTATCCGTTTCATTTCGAACTCGCGCTTCATCATTACATGGTATTCTAACTACCCCTGGTGTTATGAAGCCCTTGATGGCATCCAGGGTCTGTGAGTTATCTCCAAGTAGGGAGTGACAACGAAAGAAAACTATCCCTGAAAGTGATCGTAGTGTCCAGATCTGTTATAATGTTTGGATATTTCACTTCTGTTTATTATAATACAACAGCCTACTGCGTTCTCCTGTTTTGTATAGGAATTTGTTAAAGTTACGTAACCTTTCTGGATCTTAGCCAGAATAGCTACAAGTCTAGAGGGTCAAGGTTTGATTCCCAGCAGGGGCAAGATATTTTTCTCTATTCCTTTGCATCCAGACCGGCTATGGGACACACCCAAACAGTACCGAGGGCTGTTTCCCAGGGGGTAAAATCGTGTTGTGAAGTTAAGCACTCACCTCAATCTGGTGCGGAGGTCAACGGTGGAGCTATAATTCCAATCCCAAATACGTCTTCATGCTATGCTACCTACTCATCAACCTGAGCCTTTCTTGAGAAGCCGCTAGTTGTGCAGCTACTAAATAATTTCTGAGCATTTCATGGAACCCCAAGGTTCAATACCATGTTCACAAGAGCCCTCCGCTTGTGTTTTGTGATCCTGCTTACGCATGCACCGGTGTAGCACATCTCGTCAGGATGGAAGCAACTCCGTTCACATCCATTCCAGTGCGTTATTCACTAATCACCCTATTATTAAGATATTGCATTTCTTCTATCAAGATGCTCTTAAAATGGACTAAAGCAGTGACCAGACTTTTCAATTTTTCCCCCCACTTCAGCAACTTACAGAAAAAAAAATTTACTAACAAATAAACATGTAATGATACAAGTGTGATTTATGATTAAAAATCAAGTATGTAAGATTTGAGGTTTTCACAGTGGTGACTACAAAGAATATCATCTTCTGGGACATGGTGCTGTGTAGATCTTGTGTTCACACAAGATTTACATGGTGCCACATCCCAGAAGACATTCTTAAAAAATTTAGTTCCACTTTCATTCATGCACATTAAGACTGCACTGTGTTCACTTTTAAATCACACAAAAGTAATTATCTTCCAGTGTTCAGAAGCTCCATATAATGGAACAAACCAGCCTGTACTTCATAACATTATAGCCACAACATGAATCATTCTCACAGCAGGCCAGAAAGGATGGAGATAATTATGAGCAGGATACATCATAAGCCAAAGATGTGTACAATGAACGAGAACAAGGCTGAACTGGAAAGCTGGGTATGAAACAAAAATGGTTTTCAAAAATTAGCTTCTTCTGAATTTTGTGATGTAGCAACAACTATATCAAAAACTGTATTTTCTTATCATAGAAACAAGAAGTGTACTCATGTTTCAGTCATTTTGCATCATGGTGGGAAAGGCTGTCATATTCAGAATAATCCACATCTCTGCTGGTATGCAAATTAATATGTGATACCTACCATTATTAGAGGGGTAAAACCAGATTTAACACAAGCCTTCATTGAGTTTTCTATCAGAAGTGTTCCTGAAATATTGCCATCAAAAATAGCGATTTCTAAGAAACTGCAACAAATTTGGACCAGAATATCATAAAAATGATTAAGCTACAGGGCTCAATGTGTGCAGAGATTTTTCACTCCGTGTGCTCAACAAGCAAACTAGTGGGGAGGGAACAAGGTTTCTTGCTGTCTGATTTGACACAGTGTCATGTATCTTATCTCTCAGGGATGACTTTTGTAGTGTTTGTTTTAAGTATCATGTCTAGCAGTGCTTCTGGTGTCTGGAGACAGGAACAAGCTCTATTAATTAGGCCTAAAGGAGCAGACTCTTTACCTGAGGATGGAGACAGAGTCAAGTCTCCAAAACGTGATTTTAAATGAAAATTATGACAATAGATAATGTCCAAAAAAATCAATCACTAAAAAGATCCTTGTAATCAATCTGTAGACTTGCATCTCTTCTGAAAATGTTTGTTTCCTTCTTGATATGGTTCTGGTCATCCATCACCATCAACACCATTTTTGAGGCCACAAAACAAACCTTCAGGATCATCATGAATGTTTCTCTCACTAGATCGCTGCCTTCATACATCCAATGATTAGTCACAAAGCAGTCATAGTACTTCTCCAGCATTCTGAGCATGAGGTATCACATGCTGTCCTTTCCAGTTTCATGCTCTGTCACCTTGGGAACGAGGAAAGGTGGCTCTGTGTACTTTAACATGTTACTTCAAATTAATGGGACAACTAATGTGTTTCTTATAAACGTCTCAGCAGATGAGTTCTCACCATTTGCAAATTTCATTTTGAAAGGGTTTCTTACAGATAACACAGTAGTATGAACTTTCTTCACCTAAATGTGCAGATGAACTCCCAGATTATTCTGTTCGCTCCTCTAGTTCTCACTCATCTTGCAAGGCTACAAACATTTTTCACTGCGCACAGAGAGGTGCTTAATTAGAGCACATTTCTCCCCAAATAATTTATTACAAACAATGCAAGGGCATCGAACAATTCCCACTACATACCTGCAGATGTATACTGAGATAATTCTCTTGATGAATGGACTTCTCACACGCACTGCAACATTATGGGTGTTCTATGCCGTGCATACGAAAATGTCTATTGAGACTGCCCTTGTTACTAAAATGTTTATTACACACACTGCAAGGGTATGGACGTTCTCCGCTATGCACACGCAGATGTTTATTAAGATTACTCTTATAACGAAAATCTTTCTCACACATGTTGCAAAGGTAAGGACGTTCATTGCTATGCACACGCAGATGATAGTTGAGATGGTTCTTATAGCGAAATGATTTCTTACACACATTGCAAGGGTATGGACGTTCCCTGCTATACAGAAACACATCTGTATCAACATTAGTCTGCTCTCCACAGGACATATGTTCTCCACTATGCATATGAAGATGTCTCTTAAGGGAACCCTTTTCACTAAACGATTTCTTACATACATGGCAAGGGTATGGGCGTTCTCCACTATGCACACGGAGATGTTTATTGAGATTACTCTGAACACTGAAGGACTTCTTACACACATCACAGAGATATGGACGTTCTCCTGTATGCACACGTAGGTGTATATTGAGATTAGATGGTTCCATAAATGTTTTGTTACATATATTGCAAGAGAACGGATATTCCCCACTATGAGCACGAAGATGAGTGATCAGATGACTTTTGTGACAGAAGGATTTCTTACACACACCACAAAGATACGGACGTTCTCCAGTATGCACACGCAGGTGCCTAGTGAGATCTGCCTTTCTTGAGAAGCATTTCTTACACATATCGCAACAGTATGGTCGTTCACCACTATGCAAACGCAAATGCTTGTAAAGAGNTGGACGTTCTCCTGTATGCACGCGTAGGTGTATATTGAGATTAGATGGTTCCATAAATGTTTTGTTACATATATTGCAAGAGAACGGATATTCCCCACTATGAGCACGAAGATGAGTGATCAGATGACTTTTGTGACAGAAGGATTTCTTACACACACCACAAAGATACGGACGTTCTCCAGTATGCACACGCAGGTGCCTAGTGAGATCTGCCTTTCTTGAGAAGCATTTCTTACACATATCGCAACAGTATGGTCGTTCACCACTATGCAAACGCAAATGCTTGTAAAGAGTACTCTTATGAATAAAAGATTTCTTACACATACTGCAAGGGTATGGGCGTTCTCCACTTTCTGCTTCTGGACATTTATTCAAAATGCTGTGGTCACTAACAGATTTTCTGCACATGTCACGTGTATGTTGAAGGTCTTTGGAATATCGTCGCACAGATATTTTCATGCACTCAGATTGAATATCTAAATTTTCACAAGGAACACTGGAGAAACATCCTCTACTTCCACATTCATTTCGTGTACAGCTTATCTTCAGTGTCTCTGGCTCACTACCCAATACAGAGTGCACTCTTGATGAAGGTTCTGTATCTTCCACCGCATTCACTACCTGGGAAGAAACAGCAATAGTCTGTTACATGGACCATACCA